TTTCTGACAAAACAATTCTTTTATGTATTCGCGAGACTGTCGGGTAGGCACTCGTTAAGTTTTGCGTCTGTTTTTCTTTTCGAAAGGTGAGAGTATAATAGCAAAGGTAGAGAGTGGGCAGAAGATGCCTAATGTTGCTGGGCAGTATGGCATAAACAGGTCTACAGTAGGCCGCAGTTCAATCTTATTTAAGAAAAATACTGTATAATCAAGAAGACTCAATCAGCTAAAGGAGTAACAAAAATCACATCTGAAAAATAAAAAACATTGAAGAGTTCATAATGGAACCTGAAACGGATCTGACGACAGAAGAACGCCAAGAACTCTTGAATGAAGAACACCAAGAAACTTGGCAAGATATGTTTTCTTCTGAAAAAGAGGATTGATGCCGATATCTGTTTGAAGAACTTTGTTTGAAGAAGTGGAAGGATGTCTTAGAACGGCATCCAAACCAGGTTGAAGCTTGGGGATTTCTACAATTGCAATGCTATTAATTACTTAAGAAAAATCCTGAAGAAGATAGAAAAGTAATCGACATTAGACAGAATCTTTAACCCCTTCAAACAGAAAAAACACGACTAATAAAAATGCAAGACCGTGTATGTATGTATTTTTATTATTACATATAAATAAACGTAGTAAGAAAGTATATATTTTTTATTTTTGGGGATCTCCAGAACGAATTAATTAAATTCCCATTAAAACCTACAGTAAATCGATAATTGCTTAACGAACAATTCGGATAGCGAACAAAGTCTTGGAACAGATTATGTTCGTTAACTGATCACCCACTGTAATATACTTTTCATTAAATAAATTATTAGAACATTTTGTAAAACAGTAAAAATTTCCACTTATATAATAAGTTTGACTATTTATAAATAAATGTTTAAATCCAAAAATTAGAAAGTCACAAATATATTATTTATATTCTTTATATTGAAAATTATATTTATTATTATTAATGTTTTATCACTAATAAATCTTTCATTCAACATGTAATGGATGAAAGGAATATTTTAAATTTATCATTCTTTAAATGAATCACACATTTAGCACACCAGATTCTTAATAATAATAATAATAAAACACAAGAAATTAACATATCAAATTGAAGTTTCAAAAATCTAACATTTAATTTTTAGTAATTCCTGCCACTAACGTATGTATATAATTTCAACTAATTATGTGTATGTAAACAATACAACACAAAAGTTATATATAAAAATGGCCCCCTATGAAATTTTTCTCTAATTAAAAATAAATGTTGATAAATTATCTCTAAAATTTCAAATGAAAGCTTTTATAAATCTATGTTTCGGCTTTAGAAACATTGTCTTCTTATTTATTAAGAATATAAAAATATATCAAATAATTTTAAATGAAGATGAATAATTCATCATTAAAATTTTTTAAGATAAAGCATTTTAATTTTGAAAATTAACACTGCTGAATGATAAGGCTTCTCAGTATTAATATTTCATAATTAATAATATCACTAAGTATTCACACAATTAAATCTTTATGAACAGAATTTTCATTTTTAGTATTAACTTCAGTGCAAGACGATGACGACGATGACGAAGTACTAGGTAAACTTGATATTCCCTCACCAGCTTCAATACCAGAAATATCTCCTGAAATAGAATTGTCCTCTACATTTACACCATGTGATAATAAACAACAAGGGGCTGAAGCACTATATGGAGTGTTGTTGGTGGATTCATTAGGCTGATGTAATTCAACACATGTTAAATGATGCAATAATGACCCAGTTTGATGTTCTGGTACTGAATTTTCTTGTGTTTCTTCATTAATTTCTCTATTATTATTAGTATTTTCAATATCAGCCCTGCTAGAATTAATAACTGGATTCTGCATGAAATTTATAATAGATCTTCCATGAAGTGATCTTAATAGGGGTGTTGTTTCAGTTGGTTCTTCAGTATCTTCATCACTCTCCTCATCTGATGAAACACTACCTAAACGAATTTTTCGTTTACAGATAGGACAAGTACGCTGGTTCTTTGTTAACCAAGGATCTATGCATTTTGTATGATATGCTGTAAGAAAATAAAATTAAAAAATAATGCAATATTTTAAATAATGTATAGTACTTCTAACTCTAAATTATGTTAAATATCATATCTTCCTTTAAATTAAAGAAAAATGTTAGATTATTTTTGTGTGTAATAATACATTCTTAATTACTATTTATTAATGATATTTGTCTATAATTTCATTTACATTTGTTTTGAAACAAAAATTTCCTATTTTAGAACCAAAAATACTAATATAAAAACAGAAGATAAAGAAAAGAATAAGAACAAGAAATTTAAGAGCAGTCAAAGAGTACATTATAAGAACAGCAGCAATATATATCACCAAAGACAGATTTGAAAAAGATGAATTGTGCAACTAAAATGGCAAAAATTCTTTCTTAAAATAAATAAGATTGAAAAAATTGTAATTTGATTATTGTTTTATAACTGTATAAAGAATGGTCCATACTCCAAGAATCTATATGACAAATGTTCATGCTCAAAGGAGCCATAACAAACACCGATGGATATTCTGAAGTGATTGCAATGGATCATTCAGAATTACAGAAGAGGACTATTGTCTAGCAGTATCATCCTCCTCCAGAACAATGCTTGATACAGCCTCAGCTCTGAGAAAACAAAACAACTCTTTGAAAGTTTCAAGTTTTGGACCATCTATCCTACAGCTTAGACCTAGCCCCTAGTGTCACTTACCTTTTCACAAAACTGAATGACTTTTTTTGGAGTAAAATACTTTACAATGCTTATTGTTAACTCTCATAATAATCAGTTAACACTAAAGTGGACAAAAGTAGAGCAGTCATCTTATTGAAGGCAACTTCATATGAGTCAATGATTATCTGCAGATGTAGAGAAAAGTCACCAAATTAACATGCACAAAGCTAGTCAAGATATTATATTGAAGCACACTATTATTCATGCTCCTCACATCCTGCAGTTCTTCACTTTTGTTAAGATGCACAAGCAGGGCAGACAAAGCCAGATTGCATAGAGAAACATATACATAAAATATTAGCAGAGTGCCTTAAGGGATACAAATATGCAGTCAAAAAACTTGCAAGAGGTGTTGGCCCAATTACATAAAATCAATTTTGACAAATGATGAACATCTTACTGTTCTAGATTTCATTTCCATATATCCATCTATTAGATTAGAGCCATGTTTCTGTGCTTTATGTGATTTCAGATTATTCCTGCTGCACAATCATACCACCAATAAATTTTAGATTGTGACAATGCTTTTATTTCGTGAGCGGGTAAATAAAAATATTGTCACAAATGTAGACAGAAGAGTAAAAAAACTTGAATGAGCTCCATTAAGTTCCGCATTAACTTTTCTTAAACGATCTCACAACCCAAATCCAGCAATTCCAAGAATATTTGCCTTTGCAAAAATACATAAGGAAGGCAAAGAAGTCAGACCAGTGGTGGAGAAATGCAGAGGGCCCACGTATATTTTGGAAAAACGTTTACATAGATTCATTTCAGATCTATTATGTAACAGTGATCTTGTTGCACATAACCCAACCAATGTCATTAAGGAGTTAAATTAAAAGAGTTAAGTTTAATGGATGAAGAAGTTGGGTTTGTTATGGATTTTGAAAGCCTGTATCCATCGGTAAGGATTAGAATTATGTTACGAAGCTTTAATCGAATTTATGCTCTGCATAAAACCGGAAGTTGGTGCATTTGTGAATGATTTGAAGGAATTAGCCAAGTTGATACGTTATGAGTCCTTCTTCAGCCATGACAAGCAGGTATACAGACAGAAGAAAGGCATACCTATGGGAAGCCCAATGTCAGGGTTGTTATGCGAACTGGTTTTACGCAACTTAGAAAAGCAAGTTGTTAATAGCTTCAAAAAAGATATTGTATTTTACAAAAGATATGTCGACGATGTATGCATTATATGGAGAAACAGCAAAAGAATAGACGAGTTTATACAGGTGATCAACAACACCAACAATGATGGTTTGAAACTGAAACTAGAGCAGAAGAGTCACGAAAGAATACATTTTCTAGATATTGACATACAATTAAAAGGGGATTGCAAAACAACAAGCATTTACATAAAACCTACGCACAATCCTCTCTACATACCAGCTAATTCGAATGACCCGCACGAATACAAAATGTCAGCATTTCGTGCACTCATTAGGAGAGTGTTTACTTATTGCTCCAATGTACTGGACAGGATTAAAGAGAGAGACAGAATTAAGGAAGTAGCTTCAAATTTGGGTTACCGCAAAAATACAATTGAAGGGCTAATAAAAAGTTACGAAAGAGGCAAGAGGTTAAGAACTGGAACAGATCAATTTAAGATCACCAAATTTACATATAATAAAAATGTCAGGGACATCATGAAGCAAGTTTCAGACAGAAAACGCTCCAAAATTGTTTACAAAAGAGATCCTAATTTATACAGTATTCTTAGAAATGATAAGGACAAGCTTAAGAAAGAAGAAACAGCGGGCGTATATAAAATTCCCTTTGAAAACCAACAGCCAGGAGTTAAGAAGGACTATATTGGAGTCACTAGACGGAATTTGGCTATTAGGTTTAAAGAACACAAATATGACATTAGTAAAGGGCATTGTACCACGGTTTTGTCAAGTATAGCACAAGCGGAGGCTTCAGTAGTTAAATGGAATGAAGCGTCTATTCTCAAGACATTGCGGTCCCCATCATTGGCTTTGCAACATGAAAAAATTGAAATTTATAAGAGTAAATTAAGGGATGGTTGTATCAATGCAAGGGATGCTGATGGTTTAGCTTTGGCATGGAAGTTCTTTGTAAAAGAAAAGTTAAAACACAAAAAGTCTTAGTTCATATCTGCCTTAATAATGTGATGCTTTTTGATATATATTTTTATGAATTTAATCATTTTTGTGCATTTAATCTTTTAGGTTTATTTTTGTTTTTAGTTTTATATCGCCTTNTTAGAACCATCTAAAAGTTCTCTAATTAGTCTGGAAACAAGGGGACTCAATTCTTGCATTCTGTGAAAACGGGTAAGGTTGACTGTAACGTAATAATCTTTATCTTAGTTATCGTTACTTTTGCCCGAGCAACGCCGGGCCCACCTGCTAGTTCATTCATAATTCATTCTTCACACTAAAGAATTTTAAATTTATCTTATCAATGATTTTGATGTTATCTATACTCACCTTAATGCCATTTAAGTCTTTCTATTCATTACTTTTGCTTTCATTTTAGTTAATTAGAGCAAAGATGCTTTTCTAAAATATCTTTTATTACAATACAGACAAAATGCATCAGTACCTTTTCTGAAAAATGCTCATATTCAGAATGAGCAGCATTTAAATCATCTTCATAAATAATATCTATTTTAAATGCAGAACTGTATAATCTACCATACTGTTTTCATTATAAATTGATAAACTAAATGTAATGAGTTAATATATATTCCATGCACATAAGAGAAAATTCATAGACGGGACAAAATCAGCACCATCTTTTGCAAAATACCTAAAAAATTCAGTATTTTTAAAAACTATAGTATCAGAAGCATTTTTTTGTTAGTGAATAGTTATTATATGAGCACATATATATTTAATTTACATTCACACAACATTGCAATAATCTTATAAGAGAAAACAAGCTGGCATACATATGAGCATATCATGTTTCTATGCAAATGAGTGATTAAAAAATCTAATTCAAAAATGTAAAGGCAGTGAATACAATTGTATAAGATAAAACTTATTTAAATTATAATAATTTATATTTTTACATTATTTATTAAAATAACAAGAATTACATGTTGTTAAATAATTTAAAACAACTCAAACTTCATTCAGAGAATTAAAACAAACCTTTTCATGCTAAATACTTTCAAGATCATACTCATGATCTTCAGACTGGATTGAAATAAGTCAACCCCCCTATAACACTGTTGATAATTCTGTTTTATATGAATTCCATGTTGTAGGAGTCACTTAGATTTTACAAATACGTGAGCCGTTCACAGCCTGGCACACATATTTGTAAAATCTAAGTGGCTCGTACAACATGGAATTCATATAAAACGCAATAATCAACAGTGTTATAGGGGAGTTGATTGTAAAAATATATATTAAAATAAATAATAATTCTTATATCATATAAATTGCTTAAGAAATGTTTTTATAAGTTAGTCTAAAAGAAGAAAAATTCTTTAGAATATTATTTCTCAATATGTTTGTGATCTGGTATCAATCCATGGAACAAAATGCTAGTTTTCAAAAAGTTTTAAAATTATAATACAAAATAGTAATAAGTTTCTTATAAAAATAAATTTTGCTTTTAAAAGTTATTTAAGTGAAATATCTTATTACATGATATTGCACAGCAATCATAGCAATCATGAACTATCATACACAACTAACATCTTACCATTCATATATTTATGATAAACTAATATTACAGTATTACTGGTCCTTACCCTGAAAAGTTTAGAAATGACTGATTTAGAATACAGTGTTCCAAGAATTTAAATTTTTCTTTTTGAAATACTAATTAATAGCCTATGAAAATACTTTCAATAAACTTCAATTAGTTTTTAGTCATTTTATGAAGTTATCACACTGCTTCAAACACTTGTCAATTTGTAGCATAGACATATTAAAGTTTAGCTTTTCCTAACCAAAATTTATCAAGTCTGATAACGTGCATTCTGTTCAGTTCTCTACTCAGTGCCACACTGAGCATTAAGCACCTATGATAGTGAAAGTAGAGTTTAATAGGGCAAATGATATTACCAGTGGATAAGTGGACCAGTTGATAACATGGGTTACCAAAACTTTAAAAATTTAAGAAAATTTAAGTTGTTATTAAAGATTTTCAGTGGAGAAATGAACAATGATAAAGAAGGCATTTTGAATTGAATGAGAAGACATTGGGTTTAAATTTAAACTATGGTAGATGAATTCCAAATAAGAAGACACATTCAAATGAAAGTTCAAAAAGATTGTTTTTTGGTAATGAGGAGTCTAAAGGTA